CATTACTTCGTTTTTCTCATATGCGTTATTTCGGTTTTCAAACGAAAGTGTGCATGTATGCATTATTTCGGGTTTTTCATATGCATTATTTCGGTTTTCAACCGAAACTGTGCATATATGCATTATTTCGGTTTTTTTCGTATGCATTATTTCGGTTTTTTTCATATGCATTATTTCGGTTTTCAAACGAAAGAGTGCATATGCATAATTTCGGTTTTTCTAATATGCATTATTGCGGTTTTCAACCGAAACTGTGCATATATGCATTATTTCGGTTTTTTTCGTATGCATTATTTCGGTTTTTTTCATATGCATTATTTCGTATGCACAGTTTCCATATGCACAATTTCAGGGTGCCCACCTCGATCTTTGTCACAAGGTCATGCAGGGCTGATTCATAGGATTTTCCGCTTTGATATGCATGTTGACGAACACTAAGGGGGCTTTTCACCAAAACCCTTGATCTAATGTACTTCTCGACCATGCGCTCCAGACTTTTCAGCATGAAGGATGTCAGGTTAATTGGCCTGAAGCTTTTTGCCAGCACATAGTCATCCTTTCCTGATTTGGGAATGAAGACTACCCTGACTTTTCATCAAAGAGTGGGAACGTGGCGAAATGCCAGACAGGTCCTAAATATCCTTATTAGAGCCCCTACAAGCCTGTCTTCCCCACACTTTAGCATTTTCGGATACACACCATCTGGGCTCGGTGACTTAAAATTGTCAAAAGAGGCTAAGGAAACCCCCACTCAATAAAATTCATCGGAATTTGACCTTGGGATGACCTCTAGATTACCTTGAGGAATCAAGGAACCCCCATACTCGGTTTCAGCGACAACAAAAACAATTTTATTTTTTTTTTTTCAATAAATTTTTTGTCCTATTTGACGTTGAAATGACCTCGAAGCTGACATTATGGAGGTTAACGGACCTCAGATTCCGATTAAGTGAGTCTAAAACCTTATATGTATGCATTTTTAGGTTTATTCAATGAATTTTTCCCTACTTGACCTTTAACTGACCACGAGCCTGACGTGGTGGATACTAACGGACTCGGATTCGCATTCAGCGTATCGAATAACATATATAGGTTTGGTTTAATATGCATACACTTTTTTTTTGTAAACCTGTGTAATCAATGCCATTTGATCCGCACCGTTCGTTCAATTTTGAAAAATGAGGTGTAATATTAAAGGGCTTGGGCTGCAGATGTGCCGTGAGGTTTAGGTTTTAGTTTTTCGAAAATGGTTGACACCCTTGCAAAAACAAGAATTATTCAAATTATTCAAAATTATTTATAAAGCTAAATGAGTTATTGCAATATGGGTATCAACCAAAATGGTTTTGAAAATGCTTTAATTCTTAAGTACATGTATGAGGGTTGCCACCTGTTTAAAAAACTCAAATTCAGTTTGAACTAAGGTAATTGAAATATTTGCCACCTTATGGGTGACAGACATAAGAACGTAGTACTAGAAAATATTGTGAAGAGCGTTACACCCTTTTTAAAAGTCGAATTTTGTTAACTTATACGAAAGTATGTATATGAAATATTAAAATTTGGGTAGCAAACGAGGCATTTTCAACGAATCTTTAGTTTGAACTTGGAAATCTTTCAAAAGTGTTGCCACTCTTAAAAAATTAAATTCAAATTATTTATTAAGTTAAATGAATTATTAAAAGATGGGTATATATTCAGGTGAGTTACCACGTGTTGAGAAAATCAAATTCAATTTATTTCATCAGTTAAAAAAGATTTAAAAAAATTTCAGTTTGAAAATGCTTTTAAAGAGGATTGTCACCTGATTCAAAGGCGAATTTATGTATCTTATACACAAGTTCTATGTATTAAGATATGGTTTTCAGCCAAAAGAGTGTTAATATATCTTTAGTTTACTTTGAATATTTGGAATATTTTTGAATATAATTTATCAGTTAATTGAAATATGTGTCCCAATGTCAAACGAAAGAGATTTCAAAAAAAATTAGCTTCATACTAAATTATCGACGCTTAGATATAAGAAGAAAAGATAATTAGAGATAAAAGAGAGAACCGTTTGGAAATAAGACAAGTTTTACTCTTAAATTAAGGCATCCTGTCATAAGAGGTTTTGCATTTTCTTGATACGCGGTTTGTACTATAAACAACGATATAGAGATATACACCGTTACGACGCATTTCGAAAATGGGATATCAAATTAAAGAACTGGACCTGTAGATGTTTTATTTTTTGAAGTTAGACATTTTTTTTTAGGGTTTTTTTAGGGTGATTAGGAATTTGGTGAAATGAAAACACTGTGTTCGAGACCTGTCTTTAGTCGGAAACGGTTGGATGGGATTAGATGAAACATTTGAAATATTTTGTTAGGCTTTTTTAATGGGGTTGCCATCTATTTTAAAAGTAAAGACCTTTATTTTGGCCCAACAAATGTTAGTATATTATAAAAAAATATATAAACGGCTTTTAGGTTTTTTTAATGGGGTTGCCATCTGTTTTAAAAGTAAAGACCTTTAATTTGGCCTAACAAATGTTATCTATATATATAAAAATGAAATGTCTTTCGTATGACGGCGATGCCTGACCAAACGGTTCAACCGATTTCAATTCTGTAAAAAGCACATTTTTGGGCCTTCTGTGTGGAAGGTTCTTTGATTTCAAAATATTTGAAATTTTTTGATGTTGTTGCCGAAAAATGAAGAAAGCTGAGACGTCACGATTTCACAATCTCATAGAGTTTTGCGTATATTGAATGTCACTAAACTACTAAACGGCTGGACCGATTTCGTTCATATTTGGAACATATTTCAGCACCTTAAAGGGAAATATTTCGACTAAAAATTTAATCGCTAGGTGGCGCTGGGGTCCGGATATTCATACTTGCATTTACTTGCTGATTTGGCTCATATTTAGAAAATAATTTAGCCAATTTAAAAGAAATATTTGGACTTGAAACTTACACGACAGGTGGCCCTGTGGCCGAGACATCCCCAAAAATTATTTTATGCTAAGAGAAGGATATATCTACTATATATTTGTGGAAGTATGTATGTATGTATGTATGTATGTGCCAGGTTGTAGCCTAAACGGACGGACAGAATCGAACAAAATTTTGACAGAGTATTGCCATGACACCTGGGCCTATAATAGGGTAAAAAATTGGGATTCGACAAGTGGGCGTGGCACCTCCCATAGGCGTGAAATTTTTAATCAGCCATAACTTCGAAACTATAAGTCACATGAACTTGAAATTTGGTATGCAGTCATATATATGGTATGGTAGGTGCTTACAGTAGAGTAAAAGTGGGCGTGGCACATCCCATAGACGTGGACCCTTTTATCAACTATAACATGGGAACCATAAGTCCCATGGACTTGAAATTTGGTGTGCAGGCATATCTACGGTAGGCGCTTTAAGTAAGGCATATATAACTGAGTGGAACATCCCATAGGCGTGGAAAATTCGGAATCATATGTCACGTGAAATTGAAATTTTTTACGCAGACGTATCTATAGTAGGTGCTTATAGTAGACTATATACAAGTGGGTTTGTAAAAGGGGGAGCGGCACGTCCCATGAACCTGGAATGTTTTATCAGCTATAACTCCGGAGCTATAAGTCGCTTGAACTTGAAATTTCGTACGCAGCCATTTTAATGGTAGGTACTTATATTAGGGTATATATAAATGAGTTTGGAAAAGAGTGCATGGCACATCCATAGGCATGGCATTTTTTATCAGCTATAACTTCGGAACTATAAGTCCCACGAACTTGAAATTTAGTACGCAGATATATCAATGGTAGGTGCTTAGGGTATGGGCGTGTAGGTAGGTGGTAGGGCGTGGAAAATTTTATCAGCTATAATTTCAAAACCATAAGTCAAATGAAATTGAAATTTGGTACGCAAACGTATCTATGGTAGGTGCTTATAGTAGGGTATCTTAATATATCGAGCCCTAACCGCCAAAATAACGTAAGCGACATTTTTTCAAAATTTTATTTTTGATGCAGAAATGCATCTAGATGCTCTAGGAATATTTCTGCATCAAAAAGAAAATTTTGAAAAAATGTCGCTTACGTTATTTTGGCGGTTAGGGCTCGATATAAAAGTGTCACTGTGTTCGTTTACGCCAATCTCCGATACCGCTTAAACGATTTCAATGAAATTTTATCGGTTCCAACTTAAAAGATAGGATAGTTGTGAAACCGAGAAAAAATATTTTTTTTTGTCATCGAAATTTTTTCTATGCTTCTCGCATCGTACTTACCTAATATACATATAAAAATCGAACTCTTCCTAAACGGCTCGACCGATCTTTATGAAATTTGTGTTATATATGGTAAGTATGAGAATCGTATGTAAAGTATACTTCAAACCGCTAGGTGCAGGGGGCGGTGCACCTCCCATATAAACCGAATTTTTCATAGTGCACATCTCTGGAAGTGTGCATGGTAGACTACTCGAATATGGTATGGAGATATGTGAAAACATTTGCATATTCATGGAAAAATTGCGGTTATTGGAAAAAGTTACGTGGCACCTCCCATACAAACTGCATATCCCGGAAAATGTTCATGGAAGAGGTCTCGAACTTGGTATGGAGATATATTGAAGCAATCGCATACTCAAGGAGATAAATTGTGGTTATCGGAAAAGGAGGCATGGCACTTCCATCGAATTTTTCATACTGCATATCTCTGAATGTGTTCATGGAAGAGTACTGGAACCTGGTATGTACAAGATATATAAAACGCGACTGGTCATGAAGAAAAGTTGGGGCTATTGGAAAAAGGGACGTGGCACCTCCAATGGTAAATTACTCGAAAATGATATAGAGATATATGAAATCAATCCCATGCTCTTAGAGAAAATTGGGGTTATTCGAAAAGGGGACGTGGCGCCTTTCAAACGCACTGAAACTATTACGTATCTTTGTATGCATGTACAGTTTTGCTAAGTTATTTAAGACGACAAATATGCTTTCTGACAACCACCAAACCGTAATATTAGAAGACAAATGCGTCACTAAAAATCATGAACGTGAACTCTTGGTGAAAATGTTGGACCAAAATGTTTCAATACACGGTTAAAAATTTCGGTTTTAAATTTAAACTTTTCGGACTACATATATGACCAAACTACATAAATTCAGTTTCAAATACAAACCTTCTAAATTTAAAAAAAAGAGGGCACATATGTTGGGTTTAGAATTTAAACAGTTCGGTTTAAATTTTAAACCCAAACATTTTCATAATTAAGAATAAAAAATAAAAATAAAATTTCATGCTCCGTCTGATGGGGATTGAAACCGGATAACCTTAGTAGCAACCAATTGTATCAAGCAGATTTGCACACTCAGCTACAGCCACGCATGTATGTAAATGTGATTTCATATGTTGAGTTTGAATCAACACCATATTTCGCTGTGTGCAAACATTTTCTATTTCGGTTTAGATTTTAAACCAAATTTTCTATATATCAAACCCAGAAACTAGAATTAAAACATTTTGATAGTAGTTGGTTGAATAAAAAAAATGAATTAGCAACAAGAGTTTACGGGATGTACATAGCTCAGTGGTTAACTCTTCTGACTTTGAACATCGAATTCGCAGGTTCGATACCTGCTGAAGCTTAGAAAAAAGAAGTCTGATGAAGAGATGTGGTGATCTCCGAAATAGCTGCTATAACTTCTACCGCTTAGACTTTGTTGCTTTTTCAATTTTTCCTAATAAACAATCGTGGTACAAAGCTCATTAAAAATAAAACATTTTGGTTTTATTTTTGAACCACGAGCTCTTGGACTAAAATTTAAGCCACAATATATTAAAAATTGCTTAAAACTATTGACTGGTTTAAAAAGTAGACTATAAAAGATTAAAAAAGGCAGTAGTCCCAGCGCGGTTTAAAAATTAAACCCAATCTTTTGATCGTGTACAAAAAATTTATTTTGGGCGGGACGAAGTTCGCCGGGTCTGCTAGTTATATTATAAAAAAATATATAAATAGGTACCAACTTTCCTCGATATATTTCTGTTTGAAAGCTATTTCAGTCCTCTTTCATTTGTTACCACATTTGTTTAATTTGGATAAGCGGTTTGTTTATTATTACGAAGGGACTTTTATTTCGGACATAAAAAATATTTGGCTAAATTTAACTGGCCTAAAAATACAAACATAAAAATTCTCTATAAAAATAAATATTTTTAAAATTTGTTTTCCTTGAAAATTTTTTCAATACACATTTTTTTGTAAAAAAAATTAGTTTTTGAAAATATGCCATATCAAAAAAATTTTAAGAAAATCACAATGGTAGCTCTAAGTATTGCGCAATATTTACGTATAGTATTACGCAGCGTTGCCATTTTAGCCGTTTTCCTGCTAGATTTAGCCGGTTGCGCAGCAAACAGCCGGACATAATTCGATTTAGCCGGCAGCCGATTTGTTAGCCGTTTTGCAAAAAAAATTAGCCGTTTTTAACCGATTTTGCTCTTCGCCTTATTTTATTAATATTCAAATATACAAGTTTTTATTTTTACAAATTTAGTGCTCCAAAATCTATTAGAAATGGCTAGTCTTATCTCTGAGAAAATTTTCATGTCGGACTGTGTTATATAAAATTGAAAAACAATCAGATAGTGAGCCGATTTTAATGTTTTTTTGTTTTAAGCGAGTGACCCAAATACACATAATCTGGGACGCGTCATTTTAGCAGATTAAAAAGTTACAAGTTTTGCTGAAATTTTGCAGAATTTTCATAATATTTACACCAAGTGTGAAATCTTTTTGTAGTATATGTTGTTTGTTAGGTAATGAGCTACTTATTCATAAAAAATAATAAATATTAAATAAACTAAAGAAAAATAGGCAAAACTTGCTTCAATTTTGCGTCCCAGTTTATATTTGGGAGAACGTAGCGGGAATTTTCTGCATAAAATATTTGTTATGAATGTCTTAAATTTAAGTGTGAAGTTTTATTCGCTACACTTAGAAAATAAAAGAGCACGAATTTCGATGTGGAGCAAAACTCTCTGGGAAGACAATACATGGTGCAAACATACTTTTTAAATATTATAAAATAAAACTGCAGTAGTTTTCATCTTATGTGGATAATTCTTGTGACAAATACATAGTTTCGTGCTTATATTTTTGCATACATATTTTTAGCAGCACCACATCTTTATCAGAAAATTCCGAGAATCCAAAAATAGGTACTGTTACAAGTTGCAGGCATCATTTTAACCCGACCTCTTTCCTGTTCCACGGATAATGGTACATCTTTCAGAGGTTTAAAGATATTTTGCGTCAGCAATTTGTTATCAACCTACGTACCCTACCTNACCGATTTTGCTCTTCGCCTTATTTTATTAATATTCAAATATACAAGTTTTTATTTTTACAAATTTAGTGCTCCAAAATCTATTAGAAATGGCTAGTCTTATCTCTGAGAAAATTTTCATGTCGGACTGTGTTATATAAAATTGAAAAACAATCAGATAGTGAGCCGCTTTTAATGTTTTTTTGTTTTAAGCGAGTGACCCAAATACACATAATCTGGGACGCGTCATTTTAGCAGATTAAAAAGTTACAAGTTTTGCTGAAATTTTGCAGAATTTTCATAATATTTACACCAAGTGTGAAATCTTTTTGTAGTATATGTTGTTTGTTAGGTAATGAGCTACTTATTCATAAAAAATAATAAATATTAAATAAACTAAAGAAAAATAGGCAAAACTTGCTTCAATTTTGCGTCCCAGTTTATATTTGGGAGAACGTAGCGGGAATTTTCTGCATAAAATATTTGTTATGAATGTCTTAAATTTAAATGTGAAGTTTTATTCGCTACACTTAGAAAATAAAAGAGCACGAATTTCGATGTAGAGCAAAACTCTCTGGGAAGACAATACATGGTGCAAACATACTTTTTAAATATTATAAAATAAAACTGCAGTAGTTTTCATCTTATGTGGATAATTCTTGTGACAAATACATAGTTTCGTGCTTATATTTTTGCATACATATTTTTAGCAGCACCACATCTTTATCAGAAAATTCCGAGAATCCAAAAATTGGTACTGTTACAAGTTGCAGGCATCATTTTAACCCGACCTCTTTCCTGTTCCACGGATAATGGTACATCTTTCAGAGGTTTAAAGATATTTTGCGTCAGCAATTTGTTATCAACCTACGTACCCTACCTCGGAAAAGCAAAAAACTTTATATTCGAACGTTTGCTCAGGTGTACCGAATTCTGGCAGTTTGGAAACGCGCAACACTTTTAATATTTTCATCCAACTTCACTAACTTCAAATTTTTTTCTACTTTTGTAGGAAACAAAAATTTTTCTGCTAGTGAATCTGGTGGCATGATTTTAGTTAAATGTCATAAACTTGTTAAAAGTGAAGTGGTCGGCAACAACAACGAATGTCAATAAATTAAACTACCTTCTGCTTTCACAGCTTTACGTGTTCATTTCTCAAAATATTGCTCTCCGACTAAGCAAAAGTGCCATACTTTCAGCTAATATAGTCATTTTGCGGGACAAAAAGCAACCTACTGAAAATGATCCAATATTTATAAGAATGCAAAATTGTTTAATAGAAAAGAAAACGCCATAAGTTTGTAATTTATCTCTGTTTTTATATTTAAGTAATACAAACATGACTTCTGAACGACAGTTTCCTTTGTTAAACAAAACTAAAGGGGTATACAGCTTAGCTACGTATAAATAATCCTTATTAACCAAAAAAAATTTAATGGATTTACTAGTCTTTCTAATTGTAGTTTATATATTTTAAAAAAAATTAATTCTGGTAGAAACATTTTTAGCCGTTTTTTTGTCCAATCTAGCCGGTCGCCCTGAAAAGTTCGGCAACACTGGTATTACGGGGTGCACTCTACAAAAATTTGAGTTATGCTTTTTTTTACACCGAAGTTGAGTAAATTAAGTACATTACCAATTTTTTTAATTTTTTGTAGAATTTTTTTGAGTATGCAGTTTTGTAGCCCATTAAATTTTAGTATAACAAAGTGCAAGTTTTAAGCGATTGTAAAACTGGCGTTAAATTTTTAATTTTTTTCTTTGAAAGCGAGTTTGCGCATTTTCTTCCTTAAGAAAAAAGTGCAAAAAGCCGTCAGCGTAAAAAATATTAAAAATCAACGCAATTTTGCAGTAGCTTAAAGCTTGCAGTTTATTATATTAAAACTTAATGGGCTACAAAACTGCATACTCACAAAAATTCTAAAAATTTGTAAATTTGTAATGTACTCATTTTAATCAACTTCGGTGTAAAAGAAATACATAATCTAATTATTGTAGAGTGCACCTCGTAATACTATACTTAAATATTGCGCAATACTCACAGCCAAGGTACATTCAAAACAGGTAGAAGCCAATTTGACGTCAAACTTTTAAAAGTCCAAATTTTCGGAAGAGTAAAAATGAGAATGAGCAAGTGAAATGGAAAAGGCAAAATTACATTCCACTGGCTGACATTTGTAAGTAAATTTTAAGTTAATTTTTATTTATTTACTTTGTTTAATGTAAATTTGTGTAACGTTTATTAAGCTATCACAACTTGTTGCAGTGTTGTTGGAGGGTCTTGCTGGCATAAGGGTCATAGGAACACCGCTTGGAAATGAGTGGTGTGTGCATTATAAGTATTTAGCATCACATAATTAACTATTGCACATTCCATATTGGTATAAAGCACACAATTACATAAGTTTAAACCGCACAACACTGCTAAAATTCAACAGCAAATTAAAATTTTCCATTAACGAACATTCAAAATAAAACGATATGACATTTCCAAGAGTAACGAAATATAGGAAATAACAAGTAATTTTTAGCAAAAAAACAACCGACTTCAACTCTCATATAAAAAAAAAGTATATATATATATATATATATATCGTGATCCACTGTTCGGATCTTAACCAGATTAGTATGGAACCACCTCTGAGACACTACCTTTCCGATGCAAAATTATCGAAATCGGTTGCCGTGGTCCAAAGTTATGCGGTAACATACATAAAAAAAAATAAAAAATAAAAAATAAAAAAATAAAATATTCCGACGAACTGATAACTTCCTCCTTTTTTGGAAGTCGGTTAAAAATAAATCAAGTTGAAGTTTAAAGGTTTGGTCCTATTGAGAGCAACGTCAACATGGCTTTTACCTGTTTTTATGTACCTTGACTCACAGCCACCATTGTGATTTTCTTCAATATTTTTTGCGGTGACATAGTTTCAACAACTATTTTTTTTATCAAAAAATTAGTGTGTGAAAAATGTTTCAAGAAAAAAAAATTTAAAAATATTTTTTTTTTCATAAAGAATTTTGATGTGTGTATTAGGGATGTTGCGAATGTGGGATTTTAGACATCCGTCCGCATTCGCATCCGAGGATGTTTAAAAGCAAACATCCGCGGATGCGGAAGCGAATGCGGATGTCATGTATTTTTAAGAAATAATTTAGGTGATTTAAGTAAATAAAAAAAGGAAAGATTAGTAATTTTTAATGATGTTTTTTTTCATACCCGAGCGCACTTGTGTACAAGGGTATTATAACTTTGTTCACATAACGGCTGTTTGTAATAGGCAAAACGAATCGAGATAGATATAGACAGATGTATACATAAATGATCAGAATGAAAAGAGAAATCGATTAAGCGGTGACTGTCTGTCCGTCCGTCAGTCTGTGCACACGATAACTCGAGTAAAAATCGAGATATCTTAACGAAACTTTGTACGTGCACTTCTTTGATTAAATCACTTTCTTCTGAAATGCATATTTGTATACTTCGTATATAAAAATTTGAGAAAAACAACATTTAAAGGAAAAAATAACTTTTTTTTATAAAAAAAAAGTATTTAAAACAAGAAAATTATTAACAGATTTTTAAACAATTGATACCGTTGTAAAGGCGAGTAAACCCCCTTTCTTTTGATATGCATATTTGTATACTACGTAAATAAAAATTTGAGAAAAACACTTAAAAAAAATACCAATTTTTTCTTATAAAAAATATTTTAAACAAAAAAACAAAACAAAACAAAAAATGAATTAGCAACAAGAGTTTACGGGATGTACATAGCTCAGTGGTTAACGCTTCTGACATTGAACATCGATTACGCAGGTTCGATCCCTGCTGAAGTCTAGAAAAAAGAAGTCTGATGAGGAGATGTGCTGATCTCCGAAATAGCTGCTATAACTTAACTTCTACCGCTTAGGGCCGTTTGGACCATGTCTAGTTAATTCTAACTCCCAGTTAAACATCTTTATCGACGTTATCGACACCCTTCATATAACATGTGATCGATAAAGCAGTTAACGTGCTTAACTGAAGGATGTACCTCCAGTTAGCGTTAACTAGACATGGTGCAAACGGCCCTTAGACTTTGTTGCTTTTCCAATTTTTCCTAATAAACATACGTGGTACAAAGCTCAATAAAAATATTAAAAATGTTAATAAGCCACAATAACATTGACAAAAAAACTTCTAATTAGTAATACAATTGAATACTTTATTTAAATAAAACCGAAAATTACCTTTAATTTTCATACATAACCTGTTATGTAAAAAATCAGAAACCATGGAGTTTTTGTATTTTTATATGCCTTGGACTTCTGTTACATATACTTTTGCTTTATTTTTAATAGGGCTGTGGGTGAACAAGAAAGAATTAATGCTTAAAACACTAATAATTTTTTAGTAATTTTAGTAATTTTTCTGTAATTTTTTTTATAAGAAAAACTTGGTATTTTTTCCTTTTAATTTTTCTCTCAAATTTGTATATACGAAGTATGCAAATATGCATATTAGGCGAAAGGGGGTTTAACCGCCTAAACAACGATGCCATTTTTTTTTAAATCGGTGAGCAATTTTTTGTTTAAATTTATTTTTGATAAAAAAAAAGTTATTTTTTCCTCTTAAGTGTTTTTTCTCAAATTTCAAAATTTTCAAAGGGGGTTTAATCGCTTTTACAACGATACCAATTTTTAAAAAACCGGTTGGTAGTCTTTTTTTAATATTTTTTTATACAAAAAAAGTAACTTTTTCTTTTAAATTTTTTTTTTCAAATTTTTATATGCGAAGTATACAAATATGCATATTAGACGAAAGGGGGTTTAATCGCCTAAACAACGATGCCAATTTTTTAAAAAATGGGTGAGCAATTTTTTTGTTTAAATTTATTTTTCATAAGAAAAAGTTATTTTTTCCACTTAAGTGTTTTTTTCTCAATCTTTTATTCACGAAGTATCAAATATGCATAAAAAATCGGTTGGTAGTTTTTTTTAAATATTTTTTTATAAAAAATAAGTTACTTTTTCTTTTAAATGTTCTTTTTTTCTCTAATTTTTAAATACGAAGTATACAAATATGCATATCACAAGAAAGGGGGTTGAATCACCTTTACAACGGTATGAATTATTTAAAAATCAGTTCAAAATTTTCTGAAATATTAAGTTTTTAATTTATCGAAGGTCTGACCTTTGACCCGTTATAGCATCTGTAATATAAGTTTTCAGAAAAAAAATGTATATACCATATAAATAAGAGCAAAAGGCGGAACACGTCTGTATTTTTACTATTTTTGCCTTTTACATGTAATAATTAAAAATAATTTTTTACCAAAGGTCCAATTTGGAACTTCGAGGACCCATATCTCGATTTCGGAGGCTAACTTCGAAAAACAGAGAAATTACTTTTTTTTCCTTATGACTCAGTCTCTTAAATTAAGTTGGTTTGGTTCAATACCCAGCCGAGTGCTGTACAGTGTAATAATAAAAAGCAATGGTATAAAACCAAATATCAGTTTTTGAACAATATTTTCTAACTTGATACTTGGATACTTAAAAAAATTTTTTGAGATACATTTGATCCCTTTTTTGTTTTTTTTTTTACGATGCATTTTTTCATGACGTCGCGGCAACACTGGCAAGAATGCGCCTCGTCGCTAAAGGCTTATTTTCACTTTGTCAAATTCAATGGCACTTGTCGTCAAATAAGTGAAAACGCATTGTAAAACAAGATTAAAAAGCACTATATTGATGGATTTCGATCAGGATAGGTCTTTAGTCGTGTACGTGTGCTGATAAATCGACGATCTGTCTGTTTTTGGCACATAATATTATCGGTAAAAGTATGGATAAAGGAGATAAAGTTCTGTCAAAATATGTCGACAAATTTTGACGTCAAAATATGACATAGTGAAACCCAGCCATAAGGATAACTTTAGCACACCACAGAGATTGGAATCGCAGAGTTTATCGCAAAAGTTTATCGCATTTTCTACGGTCGACTAAAATTTAGGTGATAATGGTTAATAGCTTTCTACCATTCAGAGATAACATAACTTTCCGTCAAAACTTTCATAAGCATTTTTTAGTTTCGCATTTGTCACTGACAGTTGAACCAGTAGATTTCAATTATTTTGTGCTCTTAGTAATAAGTTGTAAAAACGGAGGAAGAGAATTGTGGCCATCAGTGTGCAAAAGTTTTCTAGGTATGCCTTCAGTTGTCCACCTTTTACATAAACGCAAAAAGCCAATTCATTTTGCAATTTTATAGTCCGCCTCTTTTTCGCTTCTTATGTCAACGTCAAACTTTTTTGTCTCGTGCACACTTACATGTATGCACTCGTATTTCTACATATATACATAGACATTCATATATCCAAGTGTTAAGGCCATGCCCGATAAAACTTTGTGGCTTTGCGTAACATTTATAACTTTTCCAGCAAAGCGCTAGACGCAAAAGGTATGCCCAATGAACGCCAACGAAAAAATTGTGTGATGATTGGTGTACCCGTGAAAATTGATGTGGATTTTATTTACATATTTAGTTTTAAAAATATCAGCAATGTAATTAAATTTTATGTTTCTGCCTGAAATCTCGAATTTGAACGAAATAAAATAAATATTAAACCAGCTGATGGTCAACGCGCACAAAAAGATGGGTATTGGCCATCTTTTCGCTTCCAGGCTGCAGCAAAAACGATCTATGTATATAGCATGCTTGGCGCATTTTCACACATTTCATATTATCTGTCAAAGCGAACATGTCATGCAAAGCTAAGCAAGCGCTTTATCTGGCATAGCCTTAAGTGTTTGACCGTGCGCTGTAATTTTATCGAAATGTTACGGCAACCCACTGAGAAAATAGGAAAACGCCTTCCGCGGTAATCCATGTTTTCTTTCAGCTTTTAATACCAAAATTGTGATCGTGACCAATGTCATTTATTAGTCAAGCACAAAATGAACACCTGCTATGACACCTTACGTTCTAAGTTGCAAAATAACGTGCCACCGAAGTTATTTCCGGGCGCCGAACTACTCCGAGCGACTACTCTACATTATACGTACCCTACTTGGTAAAGAGGCTCAGGATGTTTGTATATCTGATACCAAATATACATTCTAAATTCCTACTTCCACAAGGCAGCCTCGCCTTTGTTAAAGTAAGGGGGTAAAGACCATCGGGTGAAGTTGAAGTTCCTGGTAAGGCGTTATTACGTGCTCTTATTTCCCACGGGGAAACTACATACTAATGTATTTATGTACAGCTATATACATAAATATGTAAATAAAAAATGAAAATCTAACCAACTGCACTCAAGCAAAGAAGGACAATAAAACTGCGAAAGCTGGCAAAAATAAATACAAAGGGATATAAACTTAAGTTCCAGAAAAGTGCAACTGTGTGAAAAACTTTACACCATCTACTTTCAGGTACTACACGTTTTGAAAATAGAGAAAAATACAAAAATTATAAAAAATAAAATGGTAAG